GGGGCTGCTGAGGCGGTACCTGCGCGGGGAGGAGGCGCGGCTGCGGGACCTGACTAGGTGAGGGCACGGCGAGTGGGAGCGACCGAGGGGCCTCAGTGGGAGACACTGTGCAGCAGCGTGGGGTGACTCAGGTTGAGTGTGACCCCAGGCTCATTGTCATGCTGCGTAGGACCCCAGACCCACTGTCGCACCCTGCGACTAAGACATTGTGGCGTGGGGTGGGGAGTGGCTCTGAGGGCCATTGTGACCCCCCAGACCCATTGTCACACTGTGTGGGACCCCGACACTCCGTGGCATGAGGTGTTGGCGAGGGTTGAGTCACACTGTGTGGGGCTGCAGACTCCATAACACACACGGTGGCACCCCCCCATATCCAGTGTCACACAGCGAGGTTGAGACACTGTGGAAGAGCGGGGTGGGGTGACTCTAGGACCTCACAATGTGCTGTGCAAAGCTGTGTGATCCCCAGGCCCTGTGTCACACTGACACAGACACAGTGGACGGTGCTGTGACAGAGACACTGTGAGAGTGAGATGGAGAGAATATGGTGACGCTTTAGCTATGCAAGTATTGACCTTTCAAGGGGCGATCGTGAAACACCGCATGACCTAGTGAGCTGAAGTTTAGTGTTAGGAGTCAGGTGACAGTCTTCCACCATATGTGAGATTTACATGTCATTGGCACTGGATGGGCACGATGCTGTGGATATCATACTCTGCATGTGAGTGATGCTGAGTAACTGTACAGGTCGCTATATGAATAATGCTTCAGTTCATTAATTCATAGAACACATATTTTTGAGTGCCTACTAAGAGCCAGGCAGTGTTCCAGGCAGTGGGGATAAAATGGTGAAGAAGAGCCAACTCTGCCCTCAAGGAGTTCGGGTCTGTAGCACCATGACTGTGAATCAGAGATGTCCACTGCCCTCTATGTCTTCAGTTCTTCCTTCTCCTTACACATGTAGAAGCTCTCTAAATACTAAATAAATGATAACTGAGATGTTATATGTGTGTCAACATATTTGATATCAAAAAAGCACTGTGAAAAAACATACTTGATGCAGAAGATACTGAGTATAGCACACAGCAGTGGATGCTCAGCTAATATTGTTTTGATATACAATCAACAAACTCTAGTGCTACACACTGTGGCATAAAAGATTGTTAGACTTGGGATGCTGAGGCACCATAGTCATGTATCGACTTTGGCAGTGTCCAGCTGAGAAAAATGAAAGATAAATGATTGTATATGATACCATCTGTATGAATATGTGCTGCGCCTTCTCTGCTTGGGACATGAAGAAGCCTACAACACTGACAGAGTGGTTATGACCACGTCACTATTTGGATATATTAATATTGTACTTATATCACGTGACCTCCTTCTCATTGAGCTAAGATGGCACAATGCACTGCTTTTAAAACTTTGCGTGAGTGTATGTGATAGTAATACTGATTCTGGGGTTACATGAGAAGAAGGTATGTGGAATGGGGAGTGACTCTGAGGTCCAGTGTGACCCCCAAACCCATTGTCACCCTGTGCAAAACTTTGAGACCCCATGACTGTGAGAGAGAGCTATGTAGAAGAAAAGCATTTTGTGGGTGGAAAGTATTTGTGAGAGATCTTGTTAATAGTGACTGAATGAGCTAATTTGGTGCTTGTCCTTAAGTATGTGGCTTGCATATAAACAGCTTGAAATAGTGTGACAATGTACAATATAGGTATGTATTAATTTTAACAATAAATGAAGATCATTTCAATAATTATTGTCACTTTTTGGTATAGCATTGTTGTCTAGTATTCTATGGGTCCATGCTGACTGAGTCAAATGTCTTCTTTTTGTTCATAGCTCAGAGTCATTGGAGTCCAAGCTTATTGGTGGAAATAGGAAAGACTTTTTTCTGCTTGATTTCAGAGCCCAGCATGCTCCCTGCTACCCATGCTTGTTTTCATACCAGTGATCTCTTTCTTTGGGTAGCTCAGATGGAGATGGTAGTGGGGGGTCAGAATCCCTGTGCTGGTCTTTCAGGTTACATTCTCAGAAGAGAGCACTCAGAGCATTTTGGCCAAAGCAGCTGGCCAACCCCACTCCGCCATGCTGGTCTCTTTCACTGTCTTTCCACCATTATCATTGCCACAACTTTGTCGCAGCAGGAGGTCTCATACAAACCGTATCTCATTTGATTCTCTCTCACACACGGTGCTTTGAAATAGATTTGTATTACAGTGTTAACTGTTGAGAAATCAGTTAAGACCCAAGAAAACTAAAGTCTAGTTGCTTATTCAAGATTGTATTAATAAATCTAACAGGTAGCAAATCCAGGACTAGGATACAGTTGTTTTGACTGTTTATCCAACTTTTTTCCTATTATGCTATGTTATCCCTACTGCTTCTTTTATCTGTTATACCAAGACATAGACCAAGCCCCTAACTAATTGAGGTTTTACTAGTGGCCACAGTACATGGTGGTTAACGGTAAATTCAGGAGTTTAACAGACCTCTATTTGAATCATTGGCTCTGATCTGGGACAAGTTACTTTACCTCTTTGAGCTTTAGTTTCCTAATCTTTAAAATGATGATAAACACAGTACCTATCACCATAGGGTTGTTGAAGGATTAAGAGTACCATGTAAAAGTATTTATCATTATACCTGGCATCTAACAATTGCTGGACAAATGCTAAGCCTTTATGCTTATTATTTTATTTTATTTTATTTTATTTTATTTTATTTTATTTTAAGACCAACTAGTGAAACTAGGCCCCACTTTTGGCTCTGAGGATTAACTAGGATTGTGACAGCCTAGATAAAAAACAAATCAGAAAAGTTCCCGATTATTTTCTCAGGTGACTTACGAACATTTAATTTTGTAGTTTAGTTTGATATTTTGAAGACTGGCATTCTATCATTCCGTTCTCTAGTGACTGCTCTAAAACCCAGTGAAATGTTTGCTTTTTAAGAGACAGGGTCTTGCTCTGTCACCCAGGCTAGAGTGCAGCGGCTCTATCATAGCTCGCTGTAACCTCAAACCTGTGGCTCAAGTGATCCTCCTGCCTGAGCCTACCAGGTAATTAGGACTACGGGTGCGCACCACCATGCGCACCATGCCTGACTGGGGCTTTTTTTGCTTTTGTTTTTGTTTTTGTTTGGTTTGGTTTGGTTTGGTAGAGACGGGGTCTTGCTCTCTTGCCCAGACTGGTCTTGAACTCCTGGCCTGAAGTGATTGATCCTCCCTCCTGGTACTCCCAAAGTGTTGGGATTGCAAGCATGAGCTACCGCACCCAGCCTTTATGTTTGCTTTTTAAAACAAGAATTTTGGCAGTTCTTGCTAATTTTTCTATACTCCCAATCTGGTGATTTTATGTAACTTGAGAGGCTGTTTCCAAGGCTCGGTTGAGATAGAAAAATGCCATATTCTTGAGGTTGGAACTACTCCCTACTCCAAGTTAATGAATAAAAATTATACTTGTTATAGTATATATGGTTATATGCCAGTATGGTACATATACTAGTTATGTATATAAAGAGAGTTTACCCTAGCTTTTGTTGTTGCTGTTTTTGTAGTTTAAAATACCACCAAGAGTGAAAGAGAAGTATCAGCAGCAATTTTTTTCTGTGCTAAGGATTAAGCATTAAGAATGTCCCAGAAGAACTGAGACAAAACCATTTCTGAATTCCAAAGGCAAAACATATTGAAGTGAAATAGCCCATGTATTGTGGTTGGATAACCTGCCAGGCTATGTTTAATGCAGGGATTGGGTTGCAAATTTTATGTGCAGATTCTTGAAGAAAAGGATCTGATTTTCCATTCTCAGCAGTATTTGTCAAAGCAAAAAGACATTTAGGAAACCCTGAGGTTTGAATTCAGCATCCAGTAACTCAGTTTCCAGACTCTGGAAACTGCTGTGTGCTTAGAGGCTGGGCTAGGGCCAACTTTTGGATTCTAAGCCAACCTCAGTTATCAGTTGAGAGATTTTTTTCTTTGTGTGACAGAAAAGTGGCATATCTAAACACTGGACTGAATTGATGTGCTGCAATAGAGATCAAACCCTGATCTGAACAAATCAACCCCCAAATGCAAGGAGGGGTGCTAAGAAAACAAGGAAGTAGATAGCACGTTTGATTTGATGCATGACTTGGGGCAAATATTCACCTCTCTGCTTTACCATTTTACCTTTGTGCCTCAGTTTCCTCTGATTCCTGTTAAACATTAGTCCTCAAGCTAATGAGGAATCTGTTTATTCAGTTGTGGAAGGGGTGATCAGAAGAAATAACAGAATGTGCATGCTGAAAAGATCCATAGAAATCTTCTAGACTAGACCAGTTCTTTCATTTTATGGATGAGGAAACTGAGTGATAGTTGGAGGCTGGGTCAGAATAAGTCTCGGGTCTTCCCCCAGCTCCTTCCTATCCAGCCGTCTTATAAAATCACTGCCCTCTCAGCCTCAGTTGTTCCTGGACATCTACTCTTTAAGCTGGACTCAAGCCCAAGTCTCCGCTTGTTAAGTTTTTTCATCTAGCAGTGGAATATCTTTCCCTAAGTAGTTCCATATGGAGCCAAAGCAGGAAACAATGGGTAGTAAAGATCCCACACCCTGGAGGCTGGTTTCATTTCAAAACCCTAGAGCTCCAGCTCACAGACTGCCTTGTCTTTGGGATCAGAGACACCCTGGGACTTGACAGGCTTCCCATTTCCCCACTGGGAGACCCAGGTCCAGATTCTTGTTCCTTAGTTTATGTTGAATTAAACATTCGGCTCCTTGGAAGCCTCAAGACGGTCGTCTTCTATTTCAGGCTTCATTTCATAGTTGAGGACCTCACTCTTTAGAAATCCTCAGATCGGACTCTGCTCCAAGGGGTTGAAATCCTACCACCCTGCCACTTCCTCTGTTTTTCACTTTCATCTCTGTCTCCTTGCAGAAGTTCCCCACTTTTGCCAAAGGACTCATAGTCTCCTGTGCGCTTGCACACGTTCATTTTTTTTTCACTTCGCACAAACTCTTTTTTCTTCTACTTCCATTCTTGTTATACTGTTTTTGAAGTTAATAATTTTAAAACGAGGGGGAAAACTCTTGGAGAGCAGGAATAGTACCCTTAATGTGTCCTGTTATAGATAATAAATTTCAGTAATATAAATTCCATTGGTGTTTTAGAAATGGAATTAACCGTAGTATACCAGCATCTTTTGCCTATATGAACACTGTTGAAGGACACTGGAGAAGGGAAATTAACTAGAAAGATGATCACTTCAGGCCCTATCATTTCTGCCCTTTTCTGCAATTGTTGCCAAGCTAGAAAGGTTGAAAGTGTGCTGGACAATCCCACCTCTTATTCCGCTTTACAGTCATCACCACTTCCTAAACTCCTTCCTTGAACCCAGTCCATTCTCCGTTGCTGTCGTGGTTCAGACTCTCCTTGTCTTGTGCTTGCAGTTTTGAAGTGGCCTCCTCCCCACCCTCTCACACATTTATGTATGTGAACAAGTCATAGTTTTAAACAGTACCACTCTCACTTAAAGCCTTCTCTAACCTTCTCTGGCCGAATTAATCATCCCCTCTCTGTCCTCCCCACCAAGCCTTGTTCTTAAATCTGGTATTGCATCTGTAATGTAATTATTTGTATCTTCCTTACTCACTAAACTGTGGATCCTTGAGACCAAGATTATTTCCTTATTCAGAATTTTTTCCTTAGCTCCTAGGAGAGTATTCTTTATTCATTCTTTCATAGAAATATGTATTGAATTTAGGTACAGAGTGATGAGAAAAAAAGTTATTTTCTTATCCGTGAAATCCTTGAGTATTGGACCCCATCTTGCTTTTGTATCCCTAGAATCTAGCATGGAGTCTGACATCTAGCAAATAACTAGTGTAGATTGACTTACTACAAATATATCTCAAGCCTCTGTGCCTTTGTACACTAATGGTTCCTGTTGGCTTGAAAAATACTCTTCTTCTCTTCTTTGTTCTAGCTCCTTAAGAAACCATATAGCATAATCAGCTGAGAACTCAGGTTTCAGAGTTAGTCAGACTTGGGTTCCATCCTGGCTTTGCCCTTTACTAACAGTGTGGCTTTGTTTCTGTTTCCTCTCCGTGGAATGGGTAAAATTAAATCTACACTAAGTGTAGGTCCGAAGGTGGGGGGTGATTAAATGAGACAACCTATTTACAGCGCTCAACAGGCCAATACATGGTAGGAGCTCAATAAGTCATAGCTTTCAGTATTTTAACAAATCCTTTCAGATTCAGATCAAATGCCATCTCTTCTTGGAAGCCTTTCCTTCCCCCTTCTAACTCCCACCTGGGTGAGCTGCCCTGCCTGCACAGCTGCAGCATTATATGCTCACTTCTCTCATAGCAGAGACGTCCCCAACCCCTGGGCCAGGGACTGGTACCAGTCCGTGGCTGGTTAGGAGGCGGCCCCCCCTCCAGCAGGAGGTGAGTGGTGGGCAAGGGAGCATTACTGCTTGAGCTCCGCCTCCTGTCAGATCAGCGGCGGCATTAGATTCTGATGGGAGCGTGAACCTTATTGTGAACTGCACATGCGAGGGATCTAGGTTGTGTGCTCCTTATAAGAATCTAACTGGTACCTGATGATCTGAGGTGGAACAGTTTCATCCCAAAACCATCCCCCAATGCCCCTGGTCCGTGGAAAAAATTGTTTTCCATGAAACTCATCCCTGGTGCCAAAAAGGTTGGGGACCACTATATAACACACATCACAGTGGCTATAATTAATTCAATAGTGTTTTTGAGTTTCTACCAGATACTAAGTATTGCATATACAGTGATGACAGGAGAAAAAGACTTTGTGATCCCTTTGAGAGCTGGACCCTGTCTTGCCTTTATATCTCTAGCATGGTGCCTGATATACAGTAATTGATTAATATAGACTGACTCATTCAATGAACAAAAGAGCAGACCTACTTTTGTTGTATCTATAGTTTTCATATTCTTTGTGCTTGCATGGCTCTTTGGTTGGACTATTATGTGAATCTCAAGAGGTTCAGCATGTCAATGTTAGCTACTCTTAATGTACACACACCATGCCAGCCTTCCCTAGGTGTAGTGGTCGTATCAGGAGGTGAGATCATTCTACTCCTTTCTTTCAGATTCTATGACAAGGTACTTTCTTTGCATGAGGATTCAACAACCCCTGTGGCTAACCCTCTGCTTGCATTTACTCTCATCAAACGCCTACAGTCTGACTGGAGGAATGTGGTACATAGTCTGGAGGCCAGTGAGAACATCCGAGGTAATGAGGAGGAGGGCTGGAGGGTAAGAGAGAAGATTCTATCTCCTGATGGTGGTAAGGAGAGAGATTCTGTTGGGGTGTGATTTCAAAGGGTAATGGAGTAGGTGGGTATTACTTAATATCCTTAGCTCTAGCTAGCACAAAGAATTAGCCCCCCTTGCTAATCAGCTTGTATGATTATACATTATACATTATACAATCCTGTGACGAAGTACAAGATAAATCCTTCCATTTATATATGTATAGAAAATAACCGTCTTCTAGTAGTTTCTGTTTCATTAAATTGTCACTACAGTGTCATCTATAGCAAGATCACTTTCCCAATTTATTCTGCTTTGTGCTTTAAGAAGTTTGTTGACGGCCGGCCCGGTGGCTCATGCCTGTAATCCAGCACTTTGGGAAGCTGAGGTGGGCTGATCACTTGAGGTCAGGAGTTCCAGACTGGCCTAACCAACATGGTGAAACCCCGTCTCTATTAAAAATACAAAAATTACCAGGATGTGGTGGAATTACATGCCTGTAATCCCAGTTACTCAGGATCTGAGGCAGGAGAATTGCTTGAACCCGGGAGGCAGAGGTTGCAGTGAGCCAAGATGGCACCACTGCACTCCAGCCTGGGGCGACAGAGTGAGACTTTGTCTCAAAAAAAAAAAAAAAAAAGTGTTGACTTTTGGGCTGGGCGCAGTGGCTTATGCCTGTAATCCCAGCACTTTGAGAGGCTAAGATTGCTTGAGCTCATGAGTTCGAGACTAGTCTGGGCAATATAGCGAAACCTATTAAAAATACAAAAATTAGCCAGGCATGGTGGCACATGCCTGTAGATTTGGGAAGCTGAGGCACAAGAATCGCTTGAACCCAGAAGGTGGAGGTTGCAGTGAGCTGAGATTGAGATTGCACCATTGCACTCTAGCCTGGGTGACTGAGCAAGACCCTGTCTCAAAAAAAAAAAAAAAAAGAAGTTTGTTGATTTTTGGAAAGCTAACAGTGAGAAGAGGCTGGGTGCGGTTGCTCATGCCAATAATCTCAACACTTTGGGAGCCTAAGTTGGAAGGATCACTTGAGGCCAAGAGTTTGAGACCAGCTTGGGCAACATAGCAAGACCCTGTCTCTACAAAAAAATTTATTTAAATTAGATGGATGTGATGGCGTGTGCCTGGAGTCCTGCCTACTCAGAAGGCTGAAGTGAGAGGCTCACTTGAACCCAGGAATTCAAGCAGGAGCTATGACCATGCCACTGTACTCCAGCCTAGGCAACAGAACAAGATCCTATTTCTATTAAAAGAAAGAAAGAAAAGAGAAGAGAAAAAAAAGAAAAGGAAAGAAAAAGAAGAGTTGTTTCCCTAAAGAGCAAGACTTCTGGAGACATACAGGATAGGACAATATAATGAAGCCGTGTGCCTTAATTTTTATTCCTCATTCACTCATTCTGAATGTTCCTCATTCAGAATTGCATTAAGCATCCACCCTGTGCCAGGAACTGTGCTTGCCTCTGGGAACACAAAGACAAATCCAACTTGATCTCACTAAATATTTGAACAGGTGGTCGTGCCTTGCATGCATTAAATGCCCAACTCCTGTTTCTTGAATGGCAGGTTGATGTTTTTACTACTCTTACAGCTCTGAAGGATGGCTATGAGAAGGTGGAGCAAGACCTTCCAGCCTTTGAGGACCTTGAGGGAGCAGCAAGGGCCCTGATGCGGCTGCAGGACGTGTATATGCTCAATGTGAAAGGCCTGGCCCGAGGTGTCTTTCAGAGAGTCACTGGCTCTGCCATCACTGACCTGTACAGCCCCAAACAGCTCTTTTCTCTCACAGGGGATGACTGCTTCCAAGTCGGCAAGGTAACAATATTCGAGAGAGGACCAGTTGCTTGGCTCTGGTTTCTTATGGATGAAATAACTGTGTCCCGATTGCTTTTACTTCTTTTTAATACTTACAGTAAACTTGGATATTTCCATTTTCAGAGAAAGAAAACAAGATTCAGAGAAGGTAAATAACTTGCCCTAAGATTATGCAATTTTAAGTGCAGAACTAAAGCTTGAACCCAGTCTTGACTCCAAATCTCAGGGCCTTTCCATAGTAATAAAGGTGTTTATATGCTTAGGACACTCTTGAGATTGAAAGGGGTGTTATTAATTATGCTAGAACAACAGACATGAACTGGGAAAAATGGTCCTTTGGTCACCCTAACTATAGCACCCGGCCAGTGCCTGAACCCTTGGGTAGAAAGGGAAATCAGGGGGTCAGGGACACAAGGTTGGGGAAAAGGATAAGAGATGGTGATGGAAAGGTAGGATCATGGAAACAGCCTCCTGAGACTTTCTGGAATCCAATGCAACATTTCCTAAGCATTTAGAAATACAAAATTAAAGTAGTGTCCAAAATCTAAGGCCATTCGCTTTAACATTACTTGAGGAAATAGACTTCAGGAACACCCCCCCGCCCCCCATCTGAGGTCTTTAACCGATCTTTGATTATAAGTTGTAATCACACTTGAGATCATTTTGTAATATACTCTTTGCCAGCCTTTGCCATAAAAAGCAATGGAGCAAATCCATTTTACCTTTGAAGGTGTTTATTGCAGTAAGGTGTATTTTTCCTGACACCTACAGTATTTGTCAACAGATCTGGGAGTGGGTCTCATGTGTCCTGATTCCAAATTTTGGGAGTCAGTCTTCCAAATTAAGGCAGAGTGGGCTGCTTGAGTCTCTCTACTTACCGTTTTCTCTTTTCTGGGATCCTGAGCGGAATCAGAGCTCAATCATCATGTTCATGGCTGATTTAAATTTAAGCCAGGTAAATAGTTTGATGTATGGTACTGACATATTCTTCATTAGTGAGGCCTTTCTGAAAGTAAAGCCATATGTTGAAAATTTAGTAAGTCACTTCCTGGAAGTCTTACTGGCAATCTTTCTTTCTATATTTATTTACTTATTTTGAGAGAGAAAACTTTTCAAATATAAGAAAAGGACATAAAATAATATAGCAAGCAATTATATCTATCATTGTCATGAATATATGTTCAGATTTTGCTATGTTTGTTTCATTTTTTAAAATATATATTTTTAAAAAAAACATGTTACATACAGCTAAACCCCCACTCATCCTCCTTACCACTCACCCCACCCCTTCTGCTCCACCCTTGCCCAGGTAGCCGCGATCCTGAACCATATAGTATATGCCCTTCTGAGTCCAGCTTCTTTCACTCAGCACATTATATCTGTGGAATTCATCCATATTGTATCATTTGTTAGTAGTTCATTTCTTTTTATTGCTGGGTAGTATTCCATTCTATGAATATGCCACAAACTGTTGATCCAGTCTTCTGTTAACAGATTCTTGGATTGCTTCCAGTTTGGGCTACTGTGAATAAAGCTTCTGTTAACATCCTTTTATGTCCTTCTATGGACATTTATTCTCATTTCTCTTGGATGAATACCTGGGAGTGGTATTGCCAAGTCACAGAATAAGCTTCAATAATTATCAACATGTGGCCAAATTTGTTTCATCTATACTTCCCCAATCCCTTCCTCTATGGATTACGAAGTTTCTAGTTTATGAAATTCTTTTTTTTTCTTAGGGTTTCGCTCTGCCATCCAAGTAAGTACAGTGACACAATCATGGCTCGCTGCAGCCTTGATCAAGTGATCCTCCCACCTGGGGGGGCTCAAGTGATCCTCCCACCTCAGCCTCCCAAGTAGCTAGGACTGCTGGTGTGCCCAACCATATCCAGCTACTTTTTAAATAAGGGTCTCACTGTGTTGCCCAGGATGGTCTCGAACTCCTGACCTCAAGTGATCCTCCTGCCTCAGCCTCTCAAAGTGCTGGGATTACAGGCATAAATCACTGCACCCAGCCTCTCTTCTGAAATTCTTAATTGTCTAATTCCATCATCATGCTATTGTGTCTGTTGACTCTTGCTCATGATGGATTATTTCCTGATATAGTTTGTCATGTTTGGGAGCTTATTTTCAGCAGGACATTTTCCTCCTAAGAGAATCCATGTGCCCAGAGTTGTGGGAATATCCCTCCAGAGAGTTTTGGGTGTTCTTCTTCCAGAAACTCTGGTGCTCTCACTGGCCTTAGATCCATTTTTATATTCATTTATTGACATAGGAGTTCCTTAACCATATGAATATTGCAGATTCAAACCCTATACTCACAAGAAGTAGAGGCTCAAAATTGAGAATATTCTTACACAGAGCTAGACAGAAACAAACAAATCTTCTTGTCTCATTAAGGCAGCAGGCAAATTTTTTTCTGGTCTACCTTTTCTCCTAAGGTGTAGTTTCTTATAGAATCCAATTTCATACAGGCGTCTTAGTTCCAGTTCCTGGGCTTGCGGCAGGTCTAAGAACGGCTCATCTTCTATCCTCATATGGGCGTTATAACCCAAGGTTACTGAACACCAAAGTTACTATGATTAACACCCACCCCCATCCTAAGGAACATCAGCATCTGCTCATAAGCTTATGGTTTGGGCTTTTAGCCCTTTTTTGTTTCTGGTACCTGATATTTTGTTTTTTTTATTTCTTGAAAATATATAATACAACACTTTTTATAGTATTTAAAGTGTCTGAATTTGTGTTCGGAAGGATTCCAGTTATTTCAGTCTACCATATTGCTGGGGCTTGAAGTTATTCATAGAAATCTTAATTAAACAAATTAACTTGTCATGAAAAGTTCAGTCATTTTTAGCATTTTTTAGCTCAACCTTTTTACAAATAGGACTTGAGGTGCAGAAAAATGAAACAACAGGTTAATGACAGACTTGAAGGAACAATGATTTATTATTTAGGCCGCAGAACTGCAATATCTCTAGGATTTTTCTCTGTCAGGAAGTTACACCCTAATTAGATCATTTTGTAATAGTTCTTCCTAGTCTGTAACTTTACAATTCCATGTTGTCTCCAGTATCAACTTCCAGGAAATTCCACTTGCAGCTCTGGTATTCTAGTTAACTGTACACTATGAGGAGACAGGAGCTATGTCTGGTACATGTTGCCATGTTGCCGGCGTTCCAGCATTTAATACAGAACAGATCCATTGAGCTTCCATAGTATTCCATGTCTACCTTCGTTATGGTGTCTAATGCATTGTGTTACAATTATTGGCTTACTCACGTGCCCCCTCTTGATTTAAGCTCTTACAGGACAGGGCCACCAGGCGCATAGGAAATACTTAGTAAATATTGAATAAATGAATGAATGAATGAATGTAATCCATTCTTCACATTGCTACCAGCAATATCTTCCTAAAAATATGATATTCAAGACTGTAATTTGCTTAGCCGGTGCTGCTGTTTCAAGTTTACTTTTTGTTTCTCTTCACCCTAGCTACAGCCACGATGGACTACTTGAACACATTCTTGCTTTAGATTTCTGTTTCTGCCATTCCCTCATCTTAAAATGCTTTTCTTCCCAGTCTCTACTCACCAAAATCCTTTTCCTTCTTCAAGGAAAGCCTGTCTCAGATGCTACCTCCTACATGAAGCTTTCTGAGATTCCCAAGTCTCTTCCTTTCTCTGTGCCACCACAGGATAGTATGCATTTTCCTTGGAGCACTCATGACATTGTGTCCCAAATTAAAGTTAGTTGAGGTCATGTTCTCTTCTCCTTCAGATTATAAATTCCTTAAGCATAAGAACCCTTATGTCTCCTCTTCACCTAATACAATGCATTGTATATAGTAGATGCTTAATAAATTGAATTAAAATGAGTTTGAAATTAAAATCTGCCTTCTTGGATTCCAAAGGTCCTCTTATTCTTTGAATTGTCATTTTCTTTTTCTACCTGTGGAATAAGGCTTTAGTGATGGTACTTGTGTTCTGTGTAGGTGGCCTATGACATGGGGGATTATTACCATGCCATTCCATGGCTGGAGGAGGCTGTCAGTCTCTTCCGAGGATCTTATGGAGAGTGGAAGACAGAGGATGAGGCAAGTCTAGAAGATGCCTTGGATCACTTGGCCTTTGCCTATTTCCAGGTAAGGGAATAAGTGAAGCTCATTTATTTTATTTTACTTTTATTTTACTAAGTGAAATCCTTTATAACTGCTTTACAATTTCTAAGCATTTTCACATCTTCATCTGTTTCATCTTCCCAGTAGGACCAAATGTGAGTCAAGCAAGGAAGTTATTTTATCATTTCCATGTATCACATGTGAGGAAACTGAGTCTCTAAAAGACTCTTAACTTGTCACAAAGCTTATAGACCTAGGATTAGACTACTAGTCCAGTGCTCTTTCCAATGCATTGACTACTTTACGATCATTATTTCCCATGTTTGTCACCTGTAGCAGCAGCTGCTTTATTCCCAAATGGTTAGTGGGTTCACAGTAAATGTAGATCACTCTTTTGTGCTCTCAGCAACTCATAATTCATCACAGATATTACCCATGATATTGCCATGGACAAAGAAGTTTGATTATGAGCTTTTCCCATCTGCAGTTGAGTCCCACTGTAATGTGACTCGTGTCTGGTTACAGAGGTGGAGTCACTGTTCTGTAGTGCCAGCCACAGTGCCTCCTCCAGGTGTTATTTTTCCATGGCACTGTTGATCTACTTACTCCCTGGTGTGCCTTATGTAGAAGTTCATTTCCCTAAATAAAGCAGTTGCCAATAAACAAAACTAACCAATAACTGGGTAAGGTATAGCTTTTGTATAGCTAACCCCATTTCCCACCCGAGTTGTACAGTCTTCAAGGGTAGGCTGCAAAAATCTCCATGGAACCAGTTCCCTAGAGTTTCCAAAACTAGTAAACCATTTCTGCTCCCTACC